AAAACAGTTAGAAGAGGTAAGACAAAAGGGTTATGTATGATATGGAGGCCCAGTATTTAAGAATAAGCGGCACTGAATTGGATTTAGCTTGTACGTCCCGCGACGTAAAGATTTATGTAGACTTGGTTTGACAACTATTTACCAGTCTTTGAGTGGACTCTGAACCATTACGATGAAGGAGCATTTTTGCGCCACCAATATGCAAATTACATTCAAACTCTTAAGAAGACAAGGCGAGACAAGCCGACTTCCTCGCGCTCTTTCTCGTGGCTCGCTCAAAAAAGATCGACTTGTGGGCAAGTGTAAAATTTATGCAACTGGCACCTGGGATTACCCTGCACCAACGGATCAATTTTTTTTTGAAAATGAGTAGTAACACAGGTCTTTGAAACCTCTTATTTTATTGCCCCGCTATTTTTTAAAGGGTACTTTCCAAACAAATCCCGTTGAGCTGCTACATCATTTTCAAGTCTTTGACTCTTGGAATCCTGTAACGTATTTCTCGGAAAACACCGTCTTCAAAACATGATCAAAGTCGTTACATTGTAATAAGCCACTGTTGGCGAGGTGTACGGCTTGTCGGCAAGAACATTGAATAAAACCCCTGATAGAGGTGGTAAGTGAAAACCGGGCCCTAGCAAACTACAAGTTTCGACTCGGTTTACACCAACTGTGGCAAAAACCAATGCGCGCGATAGTGTTGTCCACACGGGAATGATATTTCCCCGTTTTACAAACCGTGTAAACACTTAAGTTTGTATGACTGACCTCTTAGTCCAACAAACGCTGCAACTATACTACCAAACTAAGTAAGGCATCTTCCATAACGGAAGTCACAATTTAACTAGAAGTTTCATCTGTTCTCTTCACCGCAGGGCGAATGTGACCTGGAGAAAGTGGCAGCCAAACTAGACTTGTATAACTCAGCATGTCCACACACTACGCAGATAGCGAACTACTGGCTGTGTCGCGCCAAGATTGCACAGAAAGAAAACGACTTTGATCGTGTGGTTTGCCTGTACGAACAAGCCTTTGTTTTCAAAGCCCAGGTATTTTACTTCACTATATCCTTACTTTTTCCCCCTCCTTCCTCGTATTCCGTTATAAATCAGCCAAAAGCCGAACGCATTCGTCTCCTTCAACGTAATAAACAAAACAGCGCTCGTTCATCGTAATCCATTAAACCATCCATAACAGTCGCGTTCGTCTCAGTATCGGCTGTAACAACAAAAATCCCTGGCATTCATCTCTATCCACAAAACCAACCAAATAAGCCCGTGTTTACTTCCGTTTCCTTAGGCTCGATTTCCGCCGTCTCCTGGGTCCGGTCTTTGATCCTCCCCGAAGAGAGGGGATGAGTGCTGGCTCATTTTCCCGAACAGCGGCTGGTAATCGAGCCTACCGTTTCCTAAACCAATGAAATTCCTTTAGATCATTTTGATTTGTTCACGCGTTACTATTTTGATGAGTTGTAATCAGGCTGATGTGCTCCTCTGCAAGTACAACACTTGTAAATACCATGACTCAGTTTACAAAGAGTTATTTTTCTTTCATTGTGTTTTTCAAGCATCGAAAAGGAGAGTTCCCGCAAAAAATAATCCATGGGCCACAGGGCTTCGACCAATTTACGTTTGCAAATTTGTTTTAATTCCACTGTACACAATGCTCAGTTTTCAGTCTTTGAAAAGGGAGCTTAAGCAATCACAAAAATGACTGCAATGAATAAGGCACTACAAAATTGATTTGCGTTCTTTCAGATTTCACTTTTCCGATTATGCCGCCCTGATTTCCTTTAAGTCGAATTGTCAGGAACTGCATCCTTATTCAATGCTCAGCGAAAGGAAAGGCTGGGTCCTGCGAATGTCTATCGCTCTCGCGATTCATTCCGCGTGCCGCTCGCGCGTGACCTCTCACGATATTCACCAAATAGAGTGCTTGCTCGCAGACTAATGAGTGGACACTTACGGAGAAGAATCCACCTTACGGAAAGTTAAGTTAAAGACAGACAAATAAGATGCAGACACGATTAACCAGTCACCTATTTCCGCCTAGGTCAGAGGAAGGTGTTTGACTTACCGGGCTTTTGAGAGAGTTATTTGTAATTTAACTGTCTTTTTTGTAGCCGGAATCCTTGATCAGGGATGCCGTGTGCTCGTTCGTAAAGTTCATGAAGGAACATGGTAGTCAAGGTAGTAATTCAATTTAAATTAGAAGATGTTTTCGTATGTATTCAGTATTGAATGGGTTGTGTGTTCTACAATTATTACTCTTCTATATTGTATTCCCAGAGGAGACAATAGATGAGATTTGCGGGTTACCAGCATCATCACCAACTGAGTCTAAGACTGACGATAAGGACGCTTCTTTAGAGGAACTGAATTCCTCTATTATCAAGTTCTGCCTCGCGGAAGCCACGCCTTACAGAAAGAGGTAAATGATACTGAGTTAGACTGCGAGCAGCTATCCTTTTTTCCTCATAACCACGCGCGGCGAGCTAGAAATTAAAGTAAAATTTATGCAAATCTGAATGGTAAGGAGGAGAAATGCGTCCTCTTTCCTTGCGGCTTCGCTTCTTGCCCCTTACGCATGCTTTTGATCTACTACGAGCCAAAAGAAAAATAAGAGACTGCTCGCAGTCTAATACCGACTCAGTGAGCATTATTAAAATTGTGCTAAAAGCAAGACGTCAGATGCACAGCAGGTTAAAGAAAAAAGGTAAATGATTGGAATTTGTCTCAGACGTACCCCTCTTTTGGCTTGTTCAGATGAGAGAACGTTTTTAAAGTTTGTTTTTGCTCCCGGCTTGCTGATAATTTAATTCAAACTATTATTCTGCAAATAACCCATAAACTCCACAGTTAATTGTCTGTTTCATCAATTGTTTTACATTGCAACGCCGGCCGCACAACATTGTATATGTACTTTTCCCATTCGTTCCTCGCCGTGATCCACCATCTCGATTACCCCCGGCTTGCTCCCGTCAGGCATCGTACTTTAGTCGATGGAGCAACTGTAGATGTAATCCGGAGGTCACGTGGGTTGAATCCCACCGAGTTTAACAGATTTTTCCCTGTCGTGTGTAGTCTCCTTATTCCCTTTACTAGGGCTAACCCTCAGACTGTGGGATGAATGGGTTATTTGTAACTCTTGAATTTTCACGATCCAGAGTTATTTTTCCGTTCCATCATTTAGTTATAACTCAATTAGGTTTTATGGAGGTAATTGTGTTAAAATATTCAGATTGATTTTTCTTATGCGTTTCCGTAAAAAATTTTAGTTGTGTATGAAGCAATAAATTAATCAACGTTATCCACAGGGCTGATATGTCCTGCATGGCAAACGAAAGGGGAATTTTCCCTTCCCTTTTCTATCCTGGGCCTGCTAGTTTTGCCAATGTAGACGATGATTTTGTGATCAGGAAATGCCTATAACAATAAGTTTACATTCAACAAACGAATGCTATTGACATCGCGATAATATTTCTAAATCCCCTAGGTTCAAAGCAACATTCGGCAAATCTGTGTTGACACCAGTGCGCAGGTCCGTTCGTCTGGAGCGCGTCAGTACCCAGCATCCCTCAGTGCTTCAGGAACATGATCTCACTGTTAGAAAACTGGAAGAACTTCCGGAGAACGTTCAAAACAACCTACTGTTCAAACCAAACTTTGCTGTCAACGCTAAACTTAACGAGGCCTGGACGGAGTTGCAGCTTGACTTTAACCAATAATCTGAATCAATCGACAGATTGTGTGATTTCGAGTACAAAAGGGGTAGTTTCGTTTTCGGGGTTTACTTAGTGTTGGTATCAGCATTACGCCGCACTGAAGAGTAGGACGCTCATTGTCTCGTATGTCACAATTTAGTAAAACTACATGAGGTGGTTCCTTGCCAGTTCTAAGCATTGAACAAAACCAGACAAAACAAAACAATTTTAATCACAAGAATTTAAGCTGAATTAGTCGTTGCAGCAATAACCTTGGTAAGGATTTTAAAGAAAACGGCACCGTAAAATTTTATATAAAAATTCCATGAAGAGCCAAAAGGAAACGTTAAAATGTTAAAAGGTTGATTTGATTTAGTGTCCAAGACCCACAAAGAGTTTGACTCGATGTCTCGTCTTTAATTTGTTTAGTGAACGTAATAAGATATTCCACAATGCATTTCCTGTTTTTAGTGTGTTGAGGTCTTATAGTTTCCTTCAATGTCGAGTTATTCTGTAATATTTTGAAAATGGAACTGTTCGTAAGTTTTTATTTTCTGAAGTGTCTGAAATGTAAGTAGGGGAAAATATTATGTCCAAAGCCCGTAATCCCAGGAGTCATTCAATTAAAAAAACTGTTGGTATAATAATCCATTTCTTGTATGTCTAGTGTATTTATTTTTACCGTCATTACCACAGCGTAGAAGAAAAAAAATGAATAAATAGAAATACCCACTTAAAGATCCCGTTTACACGGGTAAGGGTTAGAAGCCACGACGAAATTTTCTTTCTTCGCCAGACAGAAGTGGGCGAGTTGGAATAATCAAGACAAGGAGTGCAAGAACGCGAATACGCCTTTTCCACATTTTCCATAATGCACCTTATTTGTCCCCCAAATTTTGCATAAGCATTGTTTTCAATTTTTCTTGTGACGGCTGTGAAACCCAGGAGAAATGAAAAACAAAGGTTATGCAAAATTTGGGGGGGCAAATAAGGTGCATTATGGGAAATGTGAAAATGTCGTGTTCAGTTTTTCAGCCACGTTTTTCAGGTTCGCTCGCGGCCAGGAGAGATGAGTTACGATGTAGCCTGTTCCAGGCTCATACACAGTGGGGAAGACGCGAAAGTAAAAGGCACGCGAAAGTCGTCTTCACGCTCTATAGTTACGATGAGCCTTCCCCAGTGGTCAGCGGTATATTTTCTCAGTAACCATACATAAAGTACATACACAAAAACCAACATGGCGTCCCACGTGCAGTTTCATCACCGAAAGTAGTATTTTATTTTACAAACATAGTATATCATCGAAGTACAATTTTCAACACTTTTAGCCATGCTCAAGTCCAAGGTATACGTAAAGAAGACGCGTAAGGGAGGAGTTATGAAAGTAGTACGTGAACATTACCTGAGAGATGATGTTTGGTGTGGGGCGAGCCATTGCATGAACTGCGGACAGACGGAAGACAATTTACTTCATCCATCACCGCAGAGCTCGTCAAAGCTGTGCAGCTTCCCACATTATTTATTACTAGACACAAACATTGTGTTACATCAGGTTAGAAGTCTTTTTTAATAGTATACTAGACACAAATAATGTGTTACATCCCCGGGGTTACATCAAGTGAGAAATCTTTCTAGAAAATGTAGTTGAACCGCCATTATGCGGTCACCCTCTATTTAGCGGCCAAAAATCAAAGTCCCGTGATAACAAAATCCTGGAAAAGATCTGTAAGTGAAACCTCTTTTCAATAAACCTCTTCCTCCATCAAGCGGTTGCTGCCACCTTTTGGGCATTCTGGTGAGAGTTCTATCGTTTTGACCTCTATTAAGTGGCCATCAAGCGCTTGATACACTTAGTTTGGCTTTATTTTTTAAAATATGATGAAGGAAAATACATGCCAGTCTGAGATAAGAGGTGACCGCTGATTGTGGACCCAGTAATGCCGCTCCCATTGAGCAATTTCAGAAAATATCTATACGATAACACAGACGGCTTACATATTTAAGCCTCCCTGGTCTTCGGAATTTCTAAGATGTGTTATCCCCCCCATGCCCTCAGAATTCCATAATCGTCAACGTTCTTCTTGTTTGGATTTTCTATTTTTTCTCCAAACCCTTCAGATCAGAATATACAAACAGGGTTCACAAACACGTGTATGCCCAATTTGGCTTATTTTATGCCAAATTATTTCAAATGACTTTCCTTCTGTTCAGTCCAGCTGGTAATCAAGTCTATTGTTACCACTATTCAACAGATGCAGCCTATATTAACTTTATTTATTATTCATTCAAAATCTTCCCCAATTCTGATTGGCTAAAAGCTCCCGCATAATTCACCATAACCAGTTACTGATGACCAAATTTGGAAGAATTTCGTGTTTAACGAGGAAATGACGTCAAAAATGCAGCCTTCTACAGGTTCATGCACTGTTAACTGAGAAGGCCTGGGGACGAGGTTGAGTTGTTTTGGTTGTGAACTTGAAAAATGGCAGACATTTCACTCGTTTCAAGAGTAAGAACTAGGCGTTATCTGGGAAGCCCAGAGTGACAAAGTCTGTATAAGCTTTTTATTTTTAGCAGTCTACAAACCCAAAAAGTGTAGACTGTAAGTAATATAACAAAACAACCCCAAAGTTAAAAGGATCAAAAGTGCTCATGTGTTATTCCCTCAATAAAATCCAGTTCCCCTCAGAGAGGATCAAAGGATACTGGTAATGGGACTTTCTTGACTGGTAAATTAGGGATATGAAAGATGTGATAATTAGATTGCATTGCGCATAAGATAATATATTTGAATGCTATTTTGTGCCTAATATATAATCATAATTATTATTATTATGTATTATTATAATTACTGTACCATGCTTCAAGTGTCTCTGTGTTGGCGCCTCTTTGTAGGCGCCTCCGTGTTGGCGGGATACTGCCAAGCCAAGCCAGCGGTGCATCAACACTGACCCAACCATGGGAGCTTAAAACTCTTTATTCAACACAGCGTTTAAGGATGTTTACTGGAATGGCTCTTTGAATTGAACTGGTTACCCTAATTTAAAATATAGTGTCCAGTCAATGACTGAAGGTTTTGGTAAAAGATGATGTTGGTGAAATCTGTTTTAGACTTAGCCTCCCCGCAGACGTCCTTTGGGGTTTGTCTGTGGGGAGGCTATTCTAGACTATGATGTAATGGTATATTTTTGTCTTGTTTACTAGGTAGATGTTCTTGAGGATCCCATCTTCAAAAATGTAATAATATTACAGACTGTTTTACAAGAAGTTCAGCATCTCAATGCCTCAGTTTACAAAAGAATAAGAGATATTATATCTAACAAGGAAAGAAAGTTCTATGTGTTTTCAAATGAACATCACAGGTTAGTAGGTATAGCCATACAATGTAACTACATGTGAAAGCATGACCCTATTATCTCTCTCATACCCAGTTATTTTAGATGGTAGTAGTTTATAAAAACATTGTTCATCTGTTCACACTTTATTAATTTAATTAAACCTTTATACAATAACCATCTTCTTCAATCTGATTCTGAATTTGTCTAGTCACTTACTTTGTGTGCCTCAGATGGAGTTATTAACTTTGACCTCATTTCACATTTCCTGTCACCAATGGACCTGTGTAGTAATTATCACGTGATAACATTAGTCCCAGGGGGTGACCTCAACAAAGTTTCATACAGGGAGGCTTCACCCCAAGGCCCAACCCCTTACCCTTCTATATCCCATTTTTGACAGAAAAGGTGAATGTACCCCTGTCATATACCTTCCATTGACGAATGGTACCCCTTTCACATACCTAATTTCATCATCATCAGGTGAAGCTAGCTTGGGCGATTACCTAATTACCTAATTTAGAACTTTGCAACCCTTTTGACTGCTGTGAATGCAGTGTCTTTAAAATATGAATTTGATATCACAAACTCAGCCCTTGTAGGTCCTTTACAGACCAAAATGACAGATTTCCCTACCCTTTCATAATAATACTTATGCTGGCAAAATCCCTTCTCTTTCATATACCTAAAGGCGGAAAAAGGTTAGTGGATGAGGAAAATAATTGAGCTCTTACCTATTCTTTTATTTAAATTACTATACATATAATCCAGATCAAAATTAAATTCAGGTTAAAATTTTTTAACCTAGGTTGATTCTGAATTTCCTTGTCTACTACCTGTAATTCATGAATAAATAGGGCTAGGAGACAAAGGAAATTCAGAATTAACCTAGGTAAAAAAACTTTAACCTGAATTTAATTTTGACCTTTAACACATATTTGCCCCAGGAGGAGTGGAGGGGGGGGGGTGGTACTGCAGATTTCCAGTGATGGGGATGATCGAATCGAGACAAAAATCGAAACCCCAAAAAATCCCTAGACCAAACTTTATCCACCAAAAAATTCCATGCCAAATTTCCAAGTCTTAAAAATGTCCAGAAAGCATTAACTGATGTAACACAGACACAGGATAATTATGTCGTGCCACTTTGCCGTCATTCTCATTGCAAATTTTACACTTACTATAAACTGACTGGGATACACAGGCACTAGCACGAATCTTAAGATTGTTTTGAATACCCCCAAAAAATCCCTACTTAACCCAAGCCACCCAAAAAAAAAACCCCTTTGATCATGCATTCCCATCACTTAAAATCCAAAGTACCTCCCCCTGGGCATAATTATTTGAGTATGTCATAATTGCTTGAAGTTTGCTGTTGTTTTTAGTATGGTAGTAGTATGTTTAAAATAAAGATATTGAGGATAAACAAGCAAAATGATAATATGAACCTCAAAGCATGTATATGGTTGGTGACGCCTTCAATGTAGTTTTTGTACTCTTTATCCCACTCATTTATAGAGAAACCTACATAGAGAGAAGAAAAGATGAATCCGCAAATGACAGGAATGATCGAGCAATAAGGACTGCAGCAAGGTGGGTTGTACGTAGCTAGTGCAGTAAATTAACTTCTATTGGAGAAAAGAGAGCAGCATCCTTGAGATACAGGGGTATTGTAATGATTTACATTCT